CACTGCCTGGATGTACACAAAGGCCATGTCTCTGCTTTTCTCCTCCAGGACTCAGCAGCAGCCTTTGAGACCCTGGGCCACGACATCTCATGAAGGCGTTTGGAAGGAGAAGTGGGCATCAGGGGATGTGCTCTCGATTGGTCTGAAGCATTCTGTGCCCATCGGAGGAGGGCTGCTGTCCTCAGAGAGGGACTGGCCCCGTGGGGTTTCCTCCCCCCCCCCCCCCTCCTAGACTCCACAGCTTAGAGGGATCATTGCTTTTGACTTGCCAAAATCATTTGTCATGGATTGGCCTCAAAGGGTTGCCATCAGAGTCCAGTTAGCTCAGTGTGGTGTCCATCGGGGGGGGGGGTTTCCTTCAGAGGGCGATCCTATCCCCCACACCGGTTTCAGGCCAGGGTGTGGGACAGAAACTGTCCCATTGGCGTTGGTTGACAACCACTGCCTGGATGTACTCAAAGGCCATGTCTCTGGTTTTCTCCTCCAGGACTCAGCAGCAGCCTTTGAGACCCTGGGCCACGACATCTCATGAAGGCGTTTGGGAGGAGAAGTGGGCACCAGGGGATGTGCTCTCGATCGGTCTGAAGCATTCTGTGCCCATCGGAGGAGGGCTGCTGTCCTCAGAGAGGGACTGGCCCCGTGGGGTTTCCCCCCCCCCCTATTCAACCTCTATGTAACGCTCTTGGGGAAACAGTTTCTGTTGTGCTTTTCCCAGTGGATGCTGAATCCAGCTGCAAAAACCACTTTATTTCATCCTCCATGCCCTGGTGACCTCCAGGCTAGACTACTGTCGTGCACACTGCATGGGTCTGCCCTCAAAGTCAACTAGCAGCTCCAGTTGCTCCCAAGTACCAAATCTCAGTTGCTCCTGGGCACCGGGAGGGATGTGCCTGTCAGTCCCTTTCAGTAGCCACAACTCCACGGGCTTCCCGTCAGCCCCGTCCCCAACGGCTGTGTGGCAAACGGCTGGAAGTCGACAAATTGAAACTAAATCCTGACAAGATGCAGAGCCAGTTTGGTGTCGTGGTTCAGTCTGTGGACTCCAATCTGGGAGAACCGGGTTTGATCCCCTACATGCAGCTGCTGGATGACCTTGGGCAAGTCATAGTTCTCTCAGAGCTGTTCTCTCAAGAGCAGTTCTCGCAGAGCTCTCTCAGCCCCACCTCCCTCACAGGGGGTGTCTGTTGTGGGGAGGGGAAGGGAAAGGAGTCTGTAAGCCGCTCTGAGACTCCGAGTGAAGGGCGGGGTATAAATCCAATCTCTTCTTCTTCAGATCAGGCTGGCCGAGAAAAATGAGGACATTTTGTTTCCCACTTTAGAAGGGGTCCAGCCGACCTGGTCGAGAGCCACGGAGTCGTGCTGAATCCAGCTGCAAAATCCACTTTCATTCTCCATGCCCTGGTGACATCCAGGCTAGACTACTGTCATGCACACTGCATGGGTCTGCCCTCAAAGTCAACTAGCAGCTCCAGTTGCTACCAAGTACCAAATCTCAGTTGCTCCTGGGCACCGGGAGGGACGTGCCTGTCAGTCCCTTTCAGCAGCCACGACTCCACGGGCTTCCCGTCAGCCCCGTTCCACCGAATGAGCCCTGCGCCTTCCACGGAGGAAGGATGCCGTATTCGCCCTGCAATTGGCACTACTCTGAAAGCCCTGGTGGTGGGAAGCACCCTCAAGTCACCGCTGACTCCTGGCAGCCATCCTTCTGGCAGAGGGGGCTGGCCACTGCCTCCCTCTGCGTCGCAGCCCTGGGCTTCCTGGGTGGCCTCCCACCCAGGCGCTAAAAAGGGCCAGTCCTGCTTAATTTCGGAGATCTGCTGAGCTTGGCCTAGCCTGCGCTATCTCAAGTCAGGGCAAGAGCAAGAGGTGGTTGGCCACGGCCCGCCTCTGCATGGCAACCCTTGGTGGCCTCCCACCCAAGTATCAATAAGAGAGAGCTCTGGGCAGAAGGCGGGCTCAGCGTGGCCGGGCAGCTGCTGGAGGCCCGAGAAGCCCCGCGGCTGCCGACCCCGAGGCACAGGAGGCACCAGCTCCACCCTTGACCTGTGGGGGAAGCAACAGACAGCATCTGACAGACAGTGATCCATGCGACGGTTACCTCAAGGCTAGACTACTGTAACGCTCTTTACATGGGGCTGCCTTTGTCGCGAATTCGGAGGCTGCAGCTAGTGCAGAATGCTGCAGCCAGGCTGTTGATGGGTCTCTCGAGGAGGGACCACATTCAGCCTGTGCTGAAAGCGCTGCACTGGCTGCCGATAGCATACCGGATTCGCTTCAAAGTGCTGGTTTTGACCTTTAAAGCCCTAAATGGCCAGGGTCCAGCCTACCTGAGGGACCGCCTTTCTCCATATGTTCCCCCAAGGGCACTTCGGTCGGGAGGGCAACATCTCCTGGAGATTCCAGGCCCGAGAGAAGCCAAACTTGCTGTGACTAGGGCTGGGGCGTTTTCGGTGGCGGCTCCTACCTGGTGGAAGGAGCTCCCGGAAGAGATCCGGGCCCTGCGGGACCTCTCTCAGTTCCGCAGGGCCTGCAAGACGGAGCTCTTCCGCCAGGCCTTTGGATAGGAGCCGCCGCCACTACTCAGCCCTAGTGAATTAACATCGAATTAACATCGAACTAACATGGACTGCCTGGCCCCCAAGGGTGGAACGTAGTACCAAACATGGCTCTAGGATAAGATCAAGGGAGCTATGTTGAGATAAGATCTTTTTCTCTTGCTTGAAACTTGCTTTTAATGTATTGTAAATTGTTCATTTTATTGTAATTTATTGTTTTAATCATTGTATTGTTTTAATCAGGCACTTAGTGCCCTGTAAGCCGCCCTGAGCCTTCGGGGTAGGGCGGGGTATAAATTTAAATATAAATAAATAAATAAATAAATGGAGCAGATCTCTTCTCTCTTGCTCCGGATTGCAAGACTAGATCTAATGGGTGGAAATTACAAGGGAGGCGATACCGGCTAAAGATCAGGAGAGACTTCCTCACACAATCTCCTTCCCCTTCCCACAACAGACAGACACCCTGGGAGGCCGGTGGGGCTGAGAGAGCTCTTGACAGAAACTGCTCTTTTTTCAAGGACAGCTCTTGTCAGAACTGTGGCTTGCCCAAGGTCATCCAGCCAGGTGCAAGTGGAGGAGTGGGGAATCAAACCCGGTTCTCCCAGACTGGAGTCCGCGCACTGAACCACGACACCAAACTGGCTCTCAACATGCTTTGTTTGCAGGTGTAGTACCCAGTCGACCCCCCTCTCCACTTTTCCCCGCAGCCCCCCCCCCTTCATCCCACAGGCCAGATCCTTTTTAAACAGCCGGGTTTAAGCCAGTTCTTGCGCATCATACGTTGGGACTCCATCAAAGAGCAAACCCTAATTTACTCTGAACACCTGGCGGTCTTGTGCAGAGTCAGCCCATCCAAGTCCTCCTGCCATGGAGTGGTGGCACCTCTTCGAGGTCTCCCGCAGAGAACGGCTGCCGGCAAGGGAACCGGGGACCTCCTGCGCACCGCGTGGGGCTTCGGGAACACTGGAGATGCTGCCCTCGCACCCAGAGGAGTGGCGCGATGGACTGAAAGCGGGAAGGAGTCCCAGCGACGGCCAGGGCTGTGCGTCCGAGCAACAGGATGGCCGCCACTCAGGGCAGCGCGCGGGGAACGAAGGCTTGGGAGCCAAGATGGAAAATGTGGTCCTGGGCAGCCTGCGTCGGCGAGGGCAAGGACCACGGGGGCCCCTCAGGCAGGCAGTGGGAGGGGCGAGAAGCCCGGCTCAGCTCCCGGCTCCTGGAGGAGACACTGAGCAGGCAGAACCTCTGAGGAGCCCCTGAGGACACAGGGAATACTGCTGTGCCAAACCCTCTCGGAGATGCTGAGGGGGGGACAGAGAAGCAAGAGGCCGTGCCCCTGGGGGGAAAATCAGCCAACCCTGCGGCAGGGAACTGGCACCCCCAGAGGCTGGGGAGAAACGCGGGCATCCTAAATAGACCACCCCCCTTTCGGCATTGAAGGACAGGTGGGGGGAAAGTGAAAGGAGGCCCCGGCACGGCTCCTGCCAGAGAGAGTGAGGCTAGAAGTGTGCCCAGCCTCCAAGCAGAGCAGAGGCAACTGCTGGCCCCTTGCAAAGCCCTTCGCCCTGCGGAGAACCTAAGCCCGGGACACCCACGAGGCGGGTTGTGTGGCGGGGGGGCGGCGCAGGCTGGTCCGCCATGACCTGAACGCTGTCTGCGAAAGTGGCCACGTGACCAGAACTCTCAGGAACAACAGACTGCTCCAGCAAGGCAGCGGAACTGGTGCCAAACACATTTACTCACAGTTAATATAAAGCGTGACCAGAAGATGTGACGCGGCTCTCTGACCCCACGCCAGACACTCTCCCTCCACCCCCTATCACCAGCTGCCAACACCCTCTGCTTCTGCAAGGCACCCTTGAGGGTAACTCGGAAGACTGATGCTCTCTGGGGTGCATACTCTGAAAGACAAATCCCCCCCCCCCCCCCCGCCCAGCCAGCCTCCTCTCGTCTTGCAAAGAACGCACTGCCAGAGGCCACCACCTCCAGGAGGGACTGTGAAAGCCAGCAGCTCATCTTCATGAAGCGGCCCGGACAGGTGCCCCACCCCACTTGTCCCCCACCCCACATTCTCCCTCCTCACAGAGTGAGATATATATTTGCACCACGGCAGGGGAGACCCTGCCCACAAAAGGTCACAGAGCAGCCAGTGCTGCAGAAAAGGTGTGTGGGCACCCTCAAGCCTGGGTCGCGGGCCCCCCAAGGGTCAAGGACATCACGCTCCTAGGGAGGAGGGGGTGCTGAATCCCAGGCTTTCGTAATGGCGGCAGGCAAGCCTCCCCCCCCCCCCGGGACGCGGCGCGACCCCCCAACCCCCCGGACCCCTCTGTGGGACGCTCTCCTCGTCACCAGCCAAGAAGGGGGACAATTCTCAGTCCATGAACAGCCAGGCCGGAAGGGTCCAGACAGGAATGGTTATCCCCCCCCCCCCCCAACCAGGGAAAAGGGGGGGAGAAGGCTTGAGACAGACTCCTGCCCTAGACCCCGTAGTGGGGGTGCAAGTGGTCAATGACAGACTTGACGAAGTCAGAGGTGGTGGAGTAACCGCCCATGTCTCTTGTCCGCACCTACAGGCCAACACAAGGGGGGTGGGGGTGGGGGGGAAAACAAAATAGGAGAAACAGAGCGGTGAACGGAGAGGGTAAATGGAGGAGAAAAGGTGAGGAGAGAGGAGGGAGGGAGGGAGGAAGCAGGCAGCCACAGCCCAGGCCCAGAGGCAGAAAAGCAGGCCGAACCCCCCAGCCCTCACACCAGGATGCCCCCCCACCCTCCTTCACACATCCTACGCCCCCCTAAGCACGAGGCACCTGTGGGGGGAGCACCCTCTGCTCCTCCCGGGGGTCTGTGTAGGAGAAAAGGTGAGGAGAGAGGAGGAAGGAAGGAAGCAGGCAGCCACAGCCCAGGCCCAGAGGCAGAAAAGCAGGCCGAACCCCCGAGCCCTCACACCAGGATGCCCCCCCCACCCTCCTGCACACATCCTACGCCCCCCTAAGCACGAGGAACCTGTGGGGGGAGCACCCTCTGCTCCTCCCGGGGGTCTGAGAAGCTGCCTGAAGCCTGGATTGAACGGCACCTCCAGCTCCAAGTGGCCAAGAAAGGCCAGAAAACCGCTGAGACCAAAAGGAACAAGACGGCTCGGGTTCCCCTCCTCACCTTCTCAAGACCAGCCCCGGCCCAGAAATCTTCCCAAGCCCCCAAAACACATCTTCCCCTTTTGCAACAAAAAGGCCGAGTGACTGCCGGCCGTGGGGACTTGCCCTTCCTGTAGAGAAGGCCGAGAGCGCCTGCTGAAGGGCTCCCGCGAGAAGGCCTTCGGCGGCGGCAGGGCAACAACTCTCCTCTCTGCCTGAGTCCCCAGAGGTGGAGGAGGAGGCCTGACTCGGGACCAAGCCGGAAGCCCTCCTGGACCTCCCAAGCAGCATCCAAAGGGAGCTGAAAGGCAAGAAGGCCAGAGGCGAAACAGCAGGAGAAGCAGAGACAGGAAGAGGAAGGCGAGGGCTGGCTGTCACGCTCACCTTGCCGACCTTGATCACCTTCCTCACTGCCTCCGAGATCAGGGCCGAATGATACTCCAAGCTGGCCGGGGGAGAAAAGGAGACCGGTTAGGCGATGGGGAGACCCCCTCCTCTTGTGCCTCATCGGAACGGCGCCAGGAGGAGGCAGCAGCAGCGGGCCCCAGGCCACCAGAAGCGTCGCTCTGGGGAGCAGACCCACCCCCCCTTGCCTCCCAGCCCCCCTGCAGAGAAGGAAACTCACTTGAGGTGGCGCAGCATGTTGGCAGAGGACAGCAGCATGGCGGTGGGGTTGGCGATGTTCCTCCCCACGGCCTGGGCAAAGGGGTGTCGGGCGCCCTGTGGAGACAGAGGCACGGTCCAGAACGCCCTGTGGGGAGCCACGCCGGAGGGGGGAGGGGGAAGGGGGGGAAGGCATCTGCTACTCACCATCTCAAAGACCGCGTACTCAGCGCTGTAGCTCTCGCCAGGGACCACTCCGGCCCCGCCCACCAGTCCAGCCGCCAGATTGTCTATGATGTTCCCATACAAGTTAGGCATGACCAGGACGTCAAACTGGTAGGGATTCTGCACCAGCTGGAGAGAAGAAAGAAACGTTCACGTGTGAAACGCAAAGTCCCACACCAACGGCAGCCATGGTCTCCAACGGAAACCCTCTGCGTCCAGCCCTTAGAAGGACATTGAAGCATGTCCCCGAAACCCCTCCTTCTGGAGAGTGTGTGCTAAGGGCCAGATTCTCTTCCTTTTTCCCAACAACAGTCATTCCAGAGAATATAAAGTTTATTGAGACATTGATAGGATCCAGACTCTAGACGTTCTGTGTTAGAACTAAGGAAAAGAGTGTGATAACTAGATCAAGCAATACCCTAATGGCCCGGGGCCAATCACACCTAAGCATGAGGCCAGCTGAAATAAGGGCTCATAGTTCCCAGGGGAAAGAAGACGCCGGACTCTGCTGGGGCTCAAGGTTACTTGCCTAGGCCGACTATGGTAACAGGAGCAACGTAAGAAAGGCTGAAAGCGAAAGCAGACATTCTTCCCACTCCCCCCCCCAGTCTCCATGGAAACCAAGCCCGAGAAAGCGGGCGTGAGGTTGGCAGGTGTTTTTATTTCATTATTCTGTTGGATTGATTCTGAAACCTTTTTTAAATAAAGACCACAGAATATGATTTTTTTTAAACCAACAGGCATCATGAACTGATTTCTAGCAAAAATTACACCACGCTTGCCTGTCATAGAGAAAGGGGCAGGAACACACTGCCTGGCCCAGCTAGCCCGAAACAGCGGGGGACTGTGGACTGTTGCCAAGAGAGCCCCATTGGCAGCCTGCAGGGACCGAGAGGAGGGTGAGAACCAGCCCTTGGCCTGGCCTGAATTCGGCAGGGGGAGTCCGAGGGAAAGGAAAGGAACGGGCCAGGGGTGGGGGAGCTACTCCTGTCTGCTCGCCCAGTCATGGGACACAACATACCGGGCAAGTCAGGGGCAGAATCACCAGACTCAGCGCACAGTGGGTGCTGCAAAGGACCTGCATGCGACTCTCACCCCCTGCCCTCCTTGGAGGAGGCAGCCAGGAGCTCTTGCAGCTGGACACCACAAGGGGGGTGGGGCTCCTAGTCTCACAGAGGAGTATAATACTTCTGCCTGGGGTTACTGTGGGGCTTACTCAGTGAATGTGCCTGAAGCCCCTTTAACTCACTGAAGCACGATCTCAATGCTGCGTGACGCACAGTTCCCTCCTTCAAGGTTCGGAGCGTCATCGTACATTCAACGAGCTTTCTCTAATCAGACTTTGCTCCTCTGTGTCCACCCTGCCCACAGCACAGTGGCGTGAGCCGAGCAGTGCCTTTTCCCAGCTCCTGGTTGAGTCTGGAAGGACTTCGCCCCCTGCCCTCCCCCGCCCCGCGGCATTCCAGCCGGCCAACAGGCCGCCCATCCAGAAAGCCTCTCGCAGCAGCCAGGAAGCAAAAGCCCACCCAAGGCACTCCAAACCCCAGGAACCACCGCTTGAGGAGGCTCGCGCCAAGCACGGGCCTTGCACACTCGCTGCGCAGCACCAGACCGCGTGTGGACCCAGGCCCTCAGCTGACAGCCCTCAGCCAATCCCCTGCTCCTCGGCAGACTGAGATGCCGGACAGATGTGCTCCTGTTGACCTCCATTTATGACCCATCTGAATAAGCCAACAGCCAGTCTTCTCTTGGGGCTCTCAGAGGCTCAGGTCTTGGGGGCTGAGACGGGCCAGCAACACGGCAGCAGCAACACATCTAACAGGTGGATGTGCAAGATGCAAACACACAGTGCACCAAGTGGGACGCAAGACACCCCTGGCCAAGCAGCAGAAGTGGGGAGGGAGGGGAAGCGGCCCGCTCCCCTGACCGACCTGCATGCAGCAGTTGTCGATGATCATGGTGTCAAATTTGATCTTGGGATACAACTCAGCCACCTCTTCACAGCAGCGCAAGAAGAGCCCGTCGCCCAGCTTCCTGTCGGAGAGAAGGGGAGGGGGGGGCCGATCAAGCCACCTGGCCACACCAGCCTGCCAAAAGTGCAAAACAGGAGCGAGACCCGGCAGGGGGCAGGCTGGTTGACTGGCTGCCCCACAGCACAACAAGAAGGGGGAAGAGAGACCGGTTCCAGGCAGAGGGCGCTTCCAGAGGAACAAGCCTGCCAGGGGGCAACATCAGTAGAGGCCCCGCTCTATGCATCAGCCCTGCACAGGGCCTTCTCAGTGGTGGCATCAAGGGATAGGGAAGTCCCTTCCCACTGAAGCATGCCTGGCACAATCTGGCAGCCTTTCAGGTGCCAACAAAGGCATTTTGCTCTCCCCAGTTTTTTGTTAATTATGCCACCAGGTGTCTCCTCTGGGCTCCCCCCCCCCAGCCATTGTTGTTCTAAGCTTTCAGAGCCACCTTCCTTCTCCTCCTGCGCTGATTGCGCAGAGGCCTTCGGGGTGCTTCTAGGCTCAGTGCTCTCTCAGATGGTTCTCACGGTTCACATATCTTTTAATTGTTTTACTACAGTTTTAAATTGCCTGGGGTGCTTTCTATGGAGAGTGTTTTGAATAAACATATAAGCACTGCCCGACTGCATAAGGAAAGGGAGGGGCTGTGGCTCAGGGGGAGAGCCTCTGCCTGGCATGCAGAAGGTCCCAGGTTCAATCCCCGGCAGCATCTCCAGGTAAAAAGGACCAGGCAGGAGGTGAAGGGCCAGACCTCGGCCTGAGACCCTGGAGAGCAGCTGCCAGTCTGAGTAGACAAGACTGATCTTGATCCAGTGCTCTGATTCAGTATATAGCAGCCTCATATGTGTGTTGGAGAGGGGCTGCGGCTCAGGGGCAGAGCCTCTGCTGGGCATGCAGAAGGTCCCAGGTTCAACCCCCGGCGGCATCTCCAGTTAAACAGGACCAGGCGGGAGGTGACGGGAGAGGCCTTTCTCTGCCTGAGACGCTGGAGAGCGGCTGCCAGTCTGAGCAGGCAAGACCGCCCTTGATGGACCGAGGGGGTCTGATTCAGTCTAGGGCAGCTTCCTGTGTCCCCATGAAAACCGCCTGATCCACCCGTGCCACTTCCCCTCTTTGCCGGCACCATTCTTGCCCTCCCCCTCCCCAAAGTGCAAACTGTTTCCACCCTGTTCTCACACAAACATGCTGCCCTGAACTTCACGAGCAGGACAAGAACACTAAAGAAATACTTCCAGAGGGTAGCCGTGTCGGTCTGTAGTAGGAGACCTAGATTCAGGTCCAGCAGCACTTTACAGACCGGCCTCGGCGCTCCCCTTGTCATACACAAGCACCATCCACACAGTGCTTTTCGGCCGCTGGCAGTGGCGAGCACGGAGCCCTGAAGCTCCTGAGGGACGGCGCTGCTGTGCTCCAGCCCCAAACATTGCTGAAATCACCCACCCCCCCATGTGCCCCACCCGGAAGGGGGCACATCCTACTGAGCCGGAGCTTCGCACGGGGCATTTTCCTGCCTTCCTGAGAGGCCTTCTCCTGGCTGCCTCTTTTCCAGGATAAAAGATGGAGCTGCCAAAGAGTGAGAGGCACGACACACCGACCTGCTGCCAACCCAGTGCCTGAACCAGGGAGGTGAGTTCCTCAGCCCGGTCAGTGCTCCAGCACCAGTTGCCGGGAAGGGAAATGGAAGCAGCTGGGAGATGCGGAGCCAGCCCCTTAGGCGAGATGGGAGGGGCAAGGGAACAGGGCCGGGGTGCGTGTGTGTGTGTGTCTCCCATTAGCACTCACATTATGTTAGCTTTGTGCACCGCTGTGACCTTGGAACGGCCCTTCTTGGTGGCGTAATCAAAAGCAAATTTGGCGATGCGCTGCGACTTGGCCCGGGTGATGATCTTCAGGCACTCAATGACCCCCTTTGCACTCTGAGCACAGAAACGAACATGAGCCACAACCCTTCCCCCGTGGCACGACTCTCCAGAGTCCCTCTCCTCCACACGCCTGAGATGGGGTGGGAAGAGGCACCCTGGAGGAACAATCCCCCCCACCCCACCCCAATGCGCTGCGACTTGGCCCGGGTGATGATCTTCAGGCACTCAATGACCCCCTTTGCACTCTGAGCACAGAAACGAACATGAGCCACAACCCTTCCCCCGTGGCACGACTCTCCAGAGTCCCTCTCCTCCACACGCCTGAGATGGGGTGGGAAGAGGCACCCTGGAGGAACAATCCCCCCCACCCCACCCCACCCCCTGGAGGCAGGGAGGACACTTTTATCCTTTCGGCCCTGATGCCCCCACCCCACAATCCCGGCAGGAAGAGCAGACATCCCCCCTGGGCCGAGTCCGCCTGGAGAGCGCAGTGCAGCCAGCGGGGGGCGGGGGCATGCCCACCTCATGCTCCAGGGAGCTGTACTCTCCCTCGGTCTGCTCACGGATGATCACCAGGTCCAGATTGTTGTGCCGCGTTTTATAGCCCGGCAGGCTGTTCACGTGGACCACGTTGGCAAAGAGGTCCAGTTTGCGCCTGCAGGAAGGAACAAACGCAGGGCGGTCTTCCCCACTCACACAGGCTGACACATCCAAGAGTTACACCCCGCCTCAGTGCCCCTCTGCCCCAAGCACCCCAAATCAACTCTCACCAGGCTCTGAAAAACACCTTCTACCTGAAAAAGACCCAACTGCCCTGATTCCTGGCTTCCCTCCTGACAACCCCAAAAAGAGCAGCGAGAGCCAGCCAACCCAAAAGGAGTGGCTCGAGGCATGGCTCTGCACCAGGGCTTAGCGGGGATTTTCAGGCAACCCACACAGGGGGAGTGCTCCCTGCCTAGCCTGCAGACGCATACCTGAGTCTCATGTCATAGGAGGCCAGCTCCCCTTTGTACTCCATGGGGGTGTGGATCTTTCCTGCAAGACAAAGGGGGGAAAGGGAACCACCAGCTCACCTCCAGGCATATCTGCTCCACGTATACCATAAGTAATCCTGACAACAGCCTGGCCCAGTGGGCCACAGTTTAGATGCCCCCCCCTGCACAAGGAGAGTGACTGAGGTTCACCTCCTGGGTCCAAGAAGCAGCCAGAATTCCAGCTCCCTTCATACCTATGAGGGCCACTTTGCTCTTCTTCATGGAGTCAAGGAACTCATCCAGCTTCTCCTCTGAGGCCATGTTCTGCACCTCACTCAGGTGGTGCTCTTCAAACTCCACGGGGACAGCAGCAGCCTGCAAGGAAACCAGGAGCCATCAAGCGGGCAATGCTGGCAGAAGTGGGGCTGATGTGGAGCCTCCCTCTTCCTGTCAATCTCCAGGTCCCTGTCTGACCGGCATAAAAGTCCACGACGACTTACAAGCGCATGCAGCCATCTTGTGTGATTGCGCACCAGGCCAGAGTCGGTCATTTCAACTGAACTCTGATGCTCAGGGAGCCCCCCAGGGGTGGAAAGTTGGCAGAGCTTATCCCTGTCACTGCAGTACAAAGCACTGCACAGTCCTTATTTGATGACACCCAAACCCCAGAGGATGGACCACAAATGCAGAGCCAAGCAAACAGATTCTTCCCAAGCCTTCTTTGACGTACCCAGGAACCCTTCCAGACCCCATGCCATGCCCTTTCAATGCAGAGGCTCACCAGGGCACCCCGGGGCAACAACGGCTCTCACCTTGAAGACTTCCTTGACCGAGTGCATGAGCTCCGGGCCCACCCCGTCCCCAGGGAGCATCGTCACCTGGAAGACCCCCTCAGCCTTTGGCTTTTCCGCCTGAAACAGAACACAGGAACACCCCAGGCAGTGATCAGACCAGCTCCAGCTCCCTGACCATCCCAGCCAAATCCTCTACGGAAGCAGGCCAAATATCAAACAAAAAGGCACATGGTTGGGATCTTGGAAAGGAAGGAGAAAACTGCTGGCTTGGTTTGGACTCTCGTCTTTTTGCAGCTTTGGACATGACTTTGGCAGGCTGCTCGCAGTGGAGAGCTGCAGCTTAAAAGTGTGGAGTGGCTTGTGGGCAGAGAACCTGCCTTGCACGCAGAAGGCACCCGACGCCACCCATGCCCCCTCCCCACTAAAAGGGCCTGAGGTAGCAGGTGCTGGGGAAGGCCCCTCCCTGCCCAAGGCCCTTGATCCCCATTGAGCAGGTAGACCAGTGGTCCAACTCCAGACAACGCAGGCCCACATGTCAGGTAAACAATACAGTTAAAACTCCCAGCTTGAGAGAGCTGCAAAAACAACATCAGAAGAAAGAAGTCCACCTGGCTGGTACACCAAGGATCAAGCACTGTGCGTCAGGACAGGAGCGGGTTTCCACCCCTCGCCATGAGGAAGGCAGGTCTCACCTGAGCTCGCCCCTGCTGGAGGACAGCAGAGCTGCTGATGCTTCTCCATGCTCCACAGCTCTGGGGATGCAGGAAACACTGTCAGAGAAATTAAGGAGAGTGAGAGTGTGCAGTTCCTGAGCCAAGCTTGACTCTCCCAGCCCTGACTAGACTCAGGTTTTGTTCAATGGCTTCGACCTCATTCTAATCTGAAACCCCGAGGCTTTTGACTGAGTCAGCCAGGGTCAGGTGAACCCCATCAAGAGGGGGAAGCACAATGTCCTTCACTTCTGTCTTGACTGGGTTCAATTTTAGTTTGTTCACTTTCAGCCATTTAACCGCCACAGCAGACCGGCAGTGATTCAGAACCTTTACTGCATCCCCTGGAGATTTGGATAGAAAGACACTGAGCTGGGTGGCATCAGCATACTGATGGTATCCAGTTCTACAAATTATTTCCCCTAAGGGCTTTACATAGAGATTGAATAGGCTATGCCCTGTGGAACCCACCAAATAAATCCCACACTGATAAGCACATCCCCAGATGCGTATGTGATCCACTGGCTCAAAGGATCAAAGGCTGCAAATGAACCCTTTGTCTACATTCAACCCAAAACCATCAACTATCTTATAGCCCTGCCTGAAACCATTCTAAAAAGGTCCAGAGTACACAGGTTATCCCAAAGGCGTGGAGTTGGTCCTCCACTGCTCCGTTAATCACCTTGCCAAGAAAGGGTAACGACTGGCCTCACATCACTTTTCTCTGACCATACAATATTCTCGGAAGACAAGCAGAAAACCAGCAGGGGAAGCCTGAGAGAATCACTGAAGGTCATAGAGAAATAGAGAATACACCACATGAATTATTTTCATCTGTCTATGAACCAACATTTCAGAAAGGGTGCGGAAAGAACATAGTCGAACAGAGGTGCCCAAGGAAGCCACAAGGTATAGATAGGGACTCTGGGGCAAGGGATGCTCTGTCTTCTTGGTGCTTGGGGGGGGGGGTGTCAACAGTGAGAGGGCCTCTAATGTCCTGGCCCCACTGGTGGACCTCCTGATGGCACCTGGTATTTTTGGCCACTGAGTGACACAGAGTGTTGGACTGGAGGGGCCATTGGCCTCATCCAACATTGGCGTCTCTTATGTACTTATGTTAAGTTTTGGGGTAAATTGACAAATTTTTAAAAATCACTGGAATCAAGCTATATATATCCACCGTCACACTGATTTTTAAAAAGCTATCTCAGGGAAACCAGAGAGAGAAGAAGAAAAAGAGATTAGATTTATACCTCACCCTTCACTACCCAAAGGAATCTCAGAATGGCTGACAAACTCCTTTCCCTTCCCCTCCCCACAACAGACACCCTGTGAGGTAGGTGGGGCTCAGAGAGTTCTGACA